TATGTATATGTATATATATATATATATATATATATATATATATATACATACACACACACACACACACATACATTGTATGTATGTATATCTCAATCTCAATAAAGAACCAAGCAGTATTTCATGTTTCTTTGTTTAGGGGGTGGGTACCGGTGATTGAACCACATCCCTCAGCCCTTTTTTATATTTTATTTAGAGACTGGATCTCACTGAATTACTTAGCACCTTGCTGTTGCTGAGGCTGGCTTTGAACTTGGAATTCTCCTGCCTCAGCCTCCTAAGCCACTGGGATTATAGGCATGAACCACTGTGCCTGTCAATATTTCTGAAAAAAGCTGGTTCTAAAAGTTACATGAAAAGGCAAAGAGACTACAATATCAATACAATTCTTAAAAATGTTTGAGGAAATAGATGTGTTTAATCTAATTTAAATACGTATGGAAGTCTCACATTACCCCCACTAATATGCACAATTTCTATGCTTTTATGTCTAAAAATTTTTAAAAGGAAAAAAGAAGGTAGAGGACTTATAAAGAATATTTTGTCTTATATAATGCAATAGTAATTAAAACAGTCAGTGATGTTGTGAAATTATAGAGTAATGAAAGAGAAGGTATAGTCCAGAACTTGATTTATATCATGGTCAATTACTATTTAACAAAGGATCGAAAGCAAAATTAAATCAGTGGAGGAAACATTGTCTTTTCAACAAATGTTACTGGAACAATCAGGCATTCAAAAGGACAATAACAAGTCTCCACATAAGCTCATACAAAAATTAACTCAAAAATTGAATCATCTACTAAAGGTGAAATGTGAACTTTGACAAAAGTATATGACCTTGGTTTCAGCAAAGAGATTGTGAATTGTACTCACAAAAAGACATGTTCCACAAATGAAAATTTTGATACTTTGAATGAAATTAAATATTAAACACTTTGCTCTATGAACTACACAGTTAACAAAGTGAACAACAAAGCTACAGATGGGACTAAAATATTTGCAGCATGTCTACCCAATAAAAGGGTATCCAGAATATATTAAGCAGTTTCAACATTTAGTAATAAAAAAACAACCCAAAGAAAAGTAGGCAAAAGCTTTTCAGAGTCTTCACCAAAGATGTGTAGATAGCAATTAAACATGGTAAAAGAAACAGCAGCATTAAAACAAATGACAAATGTTTTCTCTAATATAAGGAGGCTGATTCATAGTGGGGTAGGGAGGGGGAGCATGGGAAGAATAGATGAACTCTAGATAGGGCAGAGGGGTAGGAGGGGAAGGGACAGGGCAGGGAGTTAGCAAGGATGGTGGGATGTGATAGACATCATTATCCAAAGTACATGTATGAAGACACAAATTGGTGTCAACATACTTTATATACAACCAGAGATATGAAAAATTGTGCTAAATATGTGTAATAAGAATTGTAATGCATTCTGCTGTCATTTTTTAAAAAATCAATTAAAAATAATAATTAAATGACTTTGACTTTGAAAAAAAAAAAAGAGAGATACCACCACATATGAGTTAAAATGGACAATTTAATGGGAAATAAATCACTATTTCAAAGGGTGAAAAAGTAATATCTTCAAAAGCATCAGACAAAATAGCTCTAATAATTCATATCAAGTCATCAAAAAATGGTATTCTGTGATCCA